CTATTCAAACCCAAGCAAAGATTCTTTGTAAAGAAATTTATACCACACACTGATCTAGATCAGCTGCACGCTTTTTAGAAATATTTTTATTGTAATTTAAACACAGCCCTGCTCTTAACAAAAAAAACAAAAATCTTACCACCAAAGTAACGTGCGAACTTTATGTCCTATATTGGACCCAAAGATTATAGTTATTTATGTATTAAGGGCATAACAAGGTTTTTATGGTCCGAGGCGCTATTTCGAGCCCGAGCGCGTTAGCGCGAGGGCTAGAAAAGCGTCGTAGGACCATAAAAACCAGTTATGCCAGCAATGCATACAAAACTTTATGCACGATTAATATATTATTATTTTTAATATATTATTGTTTTTAAAGACGTTTACGTCAAAGAATTTTTGTTATAATTGTCATATTATAATGTTAACTGACATCAGTCAGTTTTAAAGTTTAAAGATGAATGAAATTGAGGAAGCAGCTGAAAAGGCGAAAAATTGCGGCCTGCTGCCGGAAAAATCAAAATCTTTATACGAAAAAACTTACTTCGAATATATCAAATGGTGTAACATTGTTGTTTTTAATTTTTGACGTTTCATTATAGCCCGCTGGGTCATAATAACGCCCGCGGGCTATAAAAAGACGTTTACGTCAAAGAATTTTTGTTATAATTGTCATATTATAATGTCATCGTGCATAAAGATATTTATAATTGCATACAGCGCCATCTAATGATTTGACTTTAAGGTAACTATTTATACTCTTGTTTTTACAGTATTAATGTTAATTGTCCAATAAATATTCCCTAAATTGTTTATAATAAAAATATGTAAATTATTTGGTCGACTGGAATCTATTTTATTGTAAAATTGACGGCAGGGTCACAATTTGTGACACTGCTGTCAATTTTTAGCCCTACATTATATATCATTTTAAGTTATAATAGTTTCCTCCGCTGATTATGCCGAAATGATTATTTATGGGGAGTTTTATCCCAGCGCTTTCCCGATTGTCCCCTGGACTGTAAATTAAAGTGATCAGATTCTGTCAAAAAAGGGTAACATTTACCTAAATTACAAAACTAACACAATGATAAAATGAAAATTGTAAATTTGACGTTACTTAAATATTGTTGGTTGTTTTATATTTATAATTAAGGTTACTTCACACAACATTTTCCCCTTTTTTAACAGAAGAAGGGACCCTTTATGTAACTATACCGTACTGATGGTTTTCGCAGTAGACCCTTCACCGGCGTTGGGTGATAGTCGCAGTTTGCTCTAGATTATTAAGATACTTAAAATGAAACGTAATCACTTTTAACAGTATTATTAATTAAATGTGTAAAATCATTATTTGTTTTGCATTTAACTAATAGTGTTTTTTTTTATAAAAAAACGTTAAACCATACAAAATTTTCTTAAAAACTAACACAAAAAATTAAATAATTCTCTTGAAAAAAAATAAATAAATAAATAAATCAATTCTCTTAAATAAACAAATAAATTAATTAATTGACTTAATAGAACGATCCGGATATTTAACTGAGAATAGGTCTCATGTTTGACGTAGAAAATTACACACTAAAGACCAGCTTATCATGTCAATTTTCTCTTGCAATATTATTATAACATATAATTTTAAATCAAATAAATTAATTTATGTTAAAATGCTCGAAATACACACTAGCAATTGCAAAACATAACTGAATCGTCGCCTACGGTAACCCGCTTACAATGCATTTGGAAAGGGGCGTTCAGGTTTACTCGAGTGTATATATTTAAAATGAAAATACGGTATTTATGACTATCGAGAGAACCCGATTGATCGGTCAAGTTGTTTCGCGTCGTAACGAAGTTGGAGGTGCTTCTAAACGTATTAGAATGGCCTTTGATGCAAATAGTAGAAGGAGCATGAGGGAAGTTGCACGCGAACTGGATGTTTCCCGTTATAGGACGATCATCAACACCCTTTTTTATTTTACGCGAGTGCAGTAACTGCAACCGAAAGATTATCCCGCTAGAGTGGAATTTTGCCGCTGGTTGTTAAAGCAAGATCTTCAGCCAAATTTGGTCTCTAATATTTTGCTTTAAACAACAATGCAAAGACAAAAATGCTGCGTTTCAAATCTCTTCTTTAAATATCAGGTTTTTAAACTTGCTCTACTTTGGATCTGGGGTACAGAACAGTTCTTTTTGAAAGTTTTATCAACTTAGTAAACACAGTTGGCCAAAAATGTTTTAAAAGTTTTAAGAAAACAATATTCTATCGTCTCCTAGCAATTTTTAAAGATACGTTTAACCAAGGCGAGAGCTCTCGGTATTGGATGCCGCTTTTTTGCTCTTATTTGTTTCAAATGTTTTTTTATTTAAAACTTAAAAACACAACATTTATTTAATATATAATGGTGTACACCATCACACGTGTGAGATATGTATATAGCAAAAATATTTATTGATACCTACTAATGTTATTCCTAAACATTAGTAGATATTTTTAAATTAAATACCCAGATAGCACAAGAGGTACCCAGGACGTCCATTTCGGGTCCCACATAGGTCCGAACGTCCTAGACCTATATCGGAAGTTTTGGGTACGTCCAGTCTCTTACTTATTTGGGACAATTATAGCGGATATACTGGGTACGTCCCAAGGACGTAATTGAAGCATTGTTTTTCCAAAGGGTCTAAGTGCCAAGTTGGTTAAATAATATATTATCATTTAAAAATACTTTGTGTCATGCAGAATGACTTAATAGTATATTCTGTAAAAAGTTTGGAATACAGCATATCCGCTCGAGTGAAGAGTTTATCACACGAGCCGAAGGCTAGTTTGACGGTTTCAGGAGAGCGGAATATGCAATTCCAAACGTGTTTCAGACATTTCAACATTTACATGTGCAAAATATTTGTTTTTCATTGATAACTCACAATTTTATTTTTGTAACTTAGACCCCCCAGACAGCATCCAATTCAGAAAGATTTCTGTACGAAGTCTGTTGAAAAACATCTTACTGAGGTCAAAATATGACATCTTAGAGAAATCATTTTTACTAGCTCAAGATTAAGAGTTCTTGATGAATTCATAAATAAGAAGTAAATTTTTTAACATCTTAAAGTATCTTTTTTTCTGACCTCTTATTGGAATCAAAATTAGAAGCTACTAAGGGTAGGTATCATAAATAAGACTTTAGTTATATGATATCTTACAGTATTCTCTTTTCTTACTTCTTACTGAAATTATATTATTAACTCTTTAAGACGTCAACATGGAAACGTCACATTTATGACATTTTAATGCGATTCTTTCTTCTCACCGCTGTAACTGCTTGTGTTTGATATAAGAAGCGGCGAAGTAGAATTTAGAGCGTGCTCCATACCAAACGGTCTTAGACCTAGGTGAACGGCTACCCGATACTGACGAACTCCAAAAGAGGGAAACAGGCCGTCTATCGGTGCTGGTGAAGAGCACGCTTAAATTTAAACAAAAGTGAGACGAAGTAATCGCAATTCCTAAAATAAGCGAGTACGAGCAAATTATTAAAATGATTTTAATAAAATCCATTTAACAAATTAATAAAATAAACTTGACATGTCAAAATAAGCAACGATCCATTAGTCCCCAATAAAGCATTTCAGGATGGCCAGAGGATGTCTTACTTAGGACGTTCTGGGGACCGACGATTTGGTAACATCGGATGTCCCTGGAACGTCCTGGGGAAGGTTCAGGACCTGATTCGGACGTACTCGGAACTTACTAATGTCTGATACAAGATATACTCAGGACGTTTTTAGTACTTCTTTGTGCTATCTGGGTAAGGGATACGGAATCTATATAGCACTAAGATCAATGTCACGAAAAAATCAAAGTCAGTAGAAGAATATCACAGATGTCTGAAGCAAGTTGCTTCAAGTTGCTTCAAGCAACTAGAATTAGAAAAGGGAAGGAAAAAAAGTTGCAAACACGTGTTTGGGCAGATTTCTAAGTCAATTTTGTTGATCCAATACATTAGGCTAAATGCCCAAACTTTAGCCTAATGCCATTAATTGATACCTACTTTTGGCCATTATTTGAACAATTTTGTTTCCTAAAAAGGTTGTTTTCCTTACTTTTTAATATAAAAAGTAACAAAATTAACTAAATTAAGTTATTTTTGACATAATATTAATTTTCAGTTATCTTATAAAGTTTTTAAACAAATAAAATTAAACTATTTATTTAATAATTATAAACGTTCACTCCAGATTTAAAACAACCTGGCAACTATGTATGGTTCGTAATTAGAGATAGTCAAACTATAAAATTTAATAGGCCCAATCGAAGATAATACAAACTTTGTTTCTTTTCCTCTGATAATCAGAGTATGATTTGTCATCCTTGTCTTTGGCCTTACTTACTTGATTCTATACAGTCTGTATAATATAAATTTAAGGCAATACAAAGGAAAATTATTGTTGAAAGCATCATTGCGATACTAAATTTCAATAAGGGAGTGTGAATTAAAAAAAGAGAAAAGCTAATTAATTACACGATTCTGTTTGTGCATTTCAATTTTTCCCTACAATGCAATTTCATTAAAAATTTCAATATTCTAGCAATACATATAATTCTTGTAACCTCGATAATTTTTTACCTATACCTTAAGGAAATCGGATGGCACAAAGGATCTGGAGTTATTGCAGGAAAAGTTCCGAAAATGACTATTTTAAGAAGCAGCAATGTGTTTTAAGCACCAAGATAGTGCAATTTAACGCTCTTAAACTTTTGCAGGTTTATAGTCGCAAGCGGAGAATTGACCTGTAAAATTTTAAATACTGGTACTTTATTTATAATAAATATTAAATAAATAAATTATTTTTTTATAAATGCAAATATACCAGTACCTACTCAACAATAAATTTATATAGATTAGTTTACAGGTTTGTTTTTATTTTAATTTGCTTAACACCCTAATTAAAAACCCTCTACAACATTTACCATACTAAAAAATCTAAAATCTACTTACTTCCAGCTCATTCTCATCAAAGATGCTCAGCAAATTGTCAGGAATCAGCTCGTTGAGTCCTTTAAGAAAAGCCTCCATTTCATCTTTGATGCTAGTGGCCAACCTGTACTGGGCCAAAGCGTCCAAATACTGTAGTTTAGTCGAGTCCCTGACTTTAATTCTCGAACCGTTCGGTATTAATTCCACGGTTTTAACCAGCTGACCAGAAGTATCATACTGCTCTTCGACAAAGTAAAGTTCTGTTTCGATGTGGTCAATATCGTTTTCCAAAAGGTACTTTATTTTTGAGAGGTAAAGGTCTGGGTCATCTTGTTCAAAATACTGTAATAAATAAAGTAGTTATACTATTAAATATTTGACAAAACTAAATAATTTAAATAAAGAAATTTGTAAAAAGTATTTGTCTTACCTTATAATGTACTCTTAATCCTATAACTTGTGCTAAAAACGACCTGGTAAATCGAGCTCGTACCAGTTGCCTGTATGAGCTGCTCAGTGCGCTTTCATACAGACATTTTCCCACAACTTTGCCTGCAAATTCGTAGTGTCGCAGCTTTAAATGTTGTGGTCTTCGTGGATTTGGATGGACTAGAGATTGTTGACCTTCATGAAAACTGGCAAATAGGTGGTTTTTGGCATCGAAAAGCTGTGCGCAGATTAGTTCGAACCATTCGCGCCTCAGGCCTCCCCAATCAATGCCTAACAAAAAACATATTAAAAGATTGACTTAAAACGTGTATATTTTTTGTATATAGTATTAAAATGCAACAAGCTTAATTATTAATTACCTCACAAATCTCTGGAATGCACAATACGACATAATATGTATATAATACGCCATATTAATTAAACTTGTCGCATTTTGTACATAATAGTGCTTATTAAACACCTCATTAGCATTTTTTAATTATTAATTTATTAGGAAACAGTTGATTGTTACTTTTTGTAACATAATGTACCTTGTTCTCCTTGAAAGGTAATTTCAAAATTTCGACACCAATCAGAAACCGATAAATTTTTAGTTGCCTTCATACTGCTTTCAAGTAATTTTTCTCTGTTAACTTTCATCGACAATTTTTCGTGATAGTGTTTTTGATGATATTTTCTAACTTCGTGATGAAAGAAATCCTGCTTATCTAAAAATTATAATTGTATGTAAATAATACAAAATATATTAATTTTTTACCTTTAAATGTTTCAGATCCGCCCATATTTTTAAGCAAAAACTGCGCGAATGTAGCTGCTATAACGTTACGTTCCTTACTCATTAATTCTATTTTCGGTTGACAACCGTCGTCCACAGTAAAAGAGCTGCTAAAATTATCGCCTAGTTTTGGTATTGTATCCGATTGAAAGTTAAACTAAAACAATAAAAACTTTAGGGTATAGGCATAATAAAAAGAGAACTGTAGCGAAACTGAGAATCTTATTAGTCCTATTCTTTGCGATGTAAAAAGCTGCTTAAAATACCCCATAGAGACCCTGTTCAAACCGATAGATATTTGTATCGGAATGTATGGTGTTTCTATAGGGTGTATCGGTTTGTATAGAACCCATAGTTGGGATTTATGGTGGTTCTATAGGGATATCCACCCTTGATTTATTTGCTATCGTTTTCAATGGGGAAAATACACATACATGTAGAAATTAGTTTTTCCCCCATATAACCCTATAGGTTTGAATAAAATTTTGACAAATGCTTTATGGTTGCTCTATAGGGATATTCCTATATATCATTTATTGAGTTATTTGCTATCGGTCTCAATAGGGAAAATGTAAAAGTTATGGTGTGCCTATAGGTAATTTCCTATAAATTTTCTATCGGGCTGTATCCGTAAAAAACCATGGACAAATGCACATATTGAATCCGGTAGTGCTCGATAGATTATTTTGTATAGGTCTCTATGGGGTATTTTAAGCAGGGTTATATAGATTATTCGACGGCGACGGGATAAGTATATTATTACACCTGAATAGTATTCTATAGGGATATCCACCCTTGATTTATTTGCTATCGGTTTCAATGGGGAAAATACACATAAATGTAGAAATTAGTTTTTCCCCCATATAACCCTATAGGTTTGAATAAAATTTTGACAAATGTTTTATGGTTGCTCTATAGGGATATCCCTATATATCATTTATTGAGTTATTTGCTATCGGTCTCAATAGGGAAAATGTAAAAGTTATGGTGTGCCTATAGGTAATTTCCTATAAATTTTCTATCGGGCTGTATCCGTAAAAAACCATGGACAAATGCACATATTGAATCCGGTAGCGCTCGATAGATTATTTTTTATAGGTCTCTATGGGGTATTAAGCAGGGTTATATAGATTATTCGACGGCGACGGGATAAGTATATTATTACACCTGAATAGGATCAAAAACCACGAATTTATTGGAAAATAAAAAAAAACATTTTTGGTAAAAAGTCTATACAAAACTCTAGTTTTATTTTTATTATTATTTTATTTATCTAGGTTATCCAGATTTCTAAAAAATAGATAAATTCAATAACAAGTTTATTACGAACAAGGCCCCTGTAATACTTTATTACCATACATGGTATATACGAAACAGTTACTTGAAAATGAAATAAAACACATAAAAATAGTGGTAATGGCCATGGTATTGGCTTTATTAAAAATGTAATTTATACGTAGATTTTACAGGATCTTTATACTGGTTTCTAGATTTCACTCCAAATCCAGCAAATTTGATAATTTACGTAGCCATTTAACAAAATATGAGCTTTATTAATATGAGCTTCATCGAAATAGAGTTCAAACTGGTCACGGACCACAAACCGCTAAAAGGCCATATTAAGCCTCCTGCGAGAATAGAACGATGGTTACTGAGGTAACAAGCTTTCATAGTCACGATCAAATACAAATCCAGAAAATAAAGTATTGCTGATCCCCTCTCAAGATTATGTTAATTGAGATCAGACGAAAAATTCGATGAACCGAATGAACACAATATACGAATATAGTGAAAGTGATCAATGAGTTATCAGCAAATTCATGGTCAACTAACGACGAAAGTCCATCCTACCGGTTCCGCTTGGTGATAACCTAAATGGGTCCTTTGCTTCTTCGATGTCAGACACTACAATTGGCACATGAGGGCCACCCGGGAGACTGCTATCAAATGTCGCCTACGTTTCAAAGTATGGTGGCCCAAAAAGACAAAGAAACTGAGAAACACGTAAAAACCTGTAGGGAGTGCATCATAGTCTTACAACCCAGCAAACCCCTTACCAATGATGAGAAAAAAAAATATCTGCAGCATAGAGGACCTCCATTGGAGGTACGTAGCACTCGACTATATGTCAAGCGAAGCAAATCAGAACTACCTACTGGTGATTATTGATTATTACTCCCGTTATGTCGAAGCTGTTTTCACAAAAAGTACCAGTTCCGCAACGGTAATTAGAGATTTGGAAGAAATGTTCTCAAGGTTGGGACTTCCATAAACCATGAAGGTAGACAATGCTACCAACTTCAATACCTAGCGCGAAACTCAAGAACTATTGCTCAACAATTGGAATTGACCTTGTACATTCTCTCAAGCCAATGGCGAAGTTAAGAATATAAACAAATCCTTGAAAAAAACGGCTTCAAATATAATATCATTTAACACCACATAGGACAACCCTAAAATCTTATTCAGATTTACTCATGAATTGGAGAATTTCGAGAAAAAAATACCCGGTATCGAAGATATAGTAATGGACACACTGGACGAAGAGGTGTATACTAGGGTGGGCCGAAAAAGTACAAATATCGGTTGGAGATGTGTGTCTGTGATGGCACAGCTAAACAATGATTAGAGTGATCTGCTCAGTAACGAATAATGGCTAGTTAATCGAGTAAAATTGAGTGCAGAGGATTTTTTCAGGATCTACATATCCCCAGAACAAGAATAACCAGTGGGACGTTCAGAGGACAAATCCAGGACATCCGTAGGCTAACCTATTTTAAGATTTCTGGACATAAAGGGCCTTTACAGGACGTCCGTAGGCTTTTTGCATCACTTGGCCTTGTGTGGGATGTCATGAGAAGGTCCGAGGATATCCTTGGGATATCCCCTGAAGGCTTTTCCTAGGACGTCCTGAAGACCGACTTGTGCAAGCTGGGATGTTAAGCAGCAGGAAAAATATAGGAAATACAATTTTATATACCTTTTTTGGCGCGGACGACAATAGTGGGGAATATTTCGATAAACATTTTATCAATATTTAATGAAATAATTATTCTCGGCTCTATGAGCCGAGTCTTCACCAAAGAGTCAATCCATATGAAAACACCGAAACTCGTTGCTCGACCATCTTGGATTTTGCTCAAATTTTATAGAAATATTCATTAGGGTCCCAAAGGACCACGCATGTGTCAAATCCGGCCTATTCGAATAAAAACTTTTTAAAAACGTCATTTTTATGCTTTAATAATTTAAGCTGTAATTTTTTTCTATTTAAGATATTTTAAATTTTAAGATGTAATTCTAAAGCCAAAAAATAGTAGTTTTTATAAAAAAAAATATAAATTCACTCAATCAATATTTCTAAATAATTACACGGTGCTGAAAAAACGTGCATTTTACTAATTTTTCGTGTTTTTTAAATGCGTCCAAGGTCTCGGCTGTTTAATATGAAAAGCTAATTTTTTTCATATAAATTATTAAGTTAACATACCAAAGGCAAAATAAAACTTACAATTGACCCGTTTGGCATACGGTTTCCAAAAAAAAATTGCTTGAAATTTTTAAATTCTAGAAAATCGCATTATTTATGCCATTATATGAGGATGTTGACTTCCAAATAGAGTTATGAAATTTCCAGGATAATTGGTCCCGACCTTGATGTTCAAATGCCTGATAGTTTGGTTTTTTTATTTTCATCTTTGAAGCTTATATAGTAGCTTTAAAAGGAGAAAAATATTAAAATAAGTCGCATTATTTTATCCATTTTATAAGTATGTTGACTTCAATATAGAAATATGAAATTAACAGGATATTTTGTCCTTACCTTAAAGTTTAAATGCCTATTTAACTTGTTTTGATATTTTCATCCATTTTGCTTTTACATGGGCTTTAAAAGGAGCAAACATATTGAAATTTAAAAAACGATTATTGTTTAATTCTCTATTCTAAGAATGTGTTGACTTCAAGATAGAAATCCTTGCAGGATATTTAGTCCTTACTATGTTTAAATGCCTATTTGGCTCATTTTATTATCTTTATTCATTGTAATATGATATGATATTATTGCTCCTTTTAAAGCACCTGTACGAAGGCGTAGAAGGGCCAACAAAAATTTTATAAGTTTTAGCCAAAACTAACTTTGATTTTTGCAATTTCTATTCTATAATTGTAACTTGAACTTACAATTGTAGGTTCAAGTTACAATTGTAGGATAAACCTAAAGGTAAGTTTATTGGTTTATTGTTTCTTCTCTCTATAGTATAACCAATTTAGTGTTTTTAATAGGTAGCTATGGAACAATATGTCAAAATAGGGCTTCAGCAAAAATAAATATTATAATATTATTTAAAGGCAAGCTTAACGTATTTATAGCCCAATAACCTTAAAACGGCTTCAGTGCAGACTAGGGCTGCGATTATCGAAATTCATAATCAATTATTGATTATCTAAAATTATTGATTTTTTCGATTAATCGATTATTGATTAATCGATTTTTTGATTAATCGATTATTTGATTAATCGAGTATTTGATTAATCGATAATATTATTAGTTAAAAAAATGCGTTTGACCATTATAAGTTGGCGGAGCAAAGAAATGTTCATGCAATTTAGATAAATAATATTAAAAAACAAACATACCTACTCAGTTATGTTTTTTTATTATTATTTATATATATAAATTATATAATATTATTATTTATATTATAAAAAATACGTTTTAAAAGCACACAACACGACAATTGTTGAATAACTAAATAACTTAAATCATTTGGTCCCCCAACTTATCGTGGACAGACAGTACATTCTTTATTTAAATAATAATAGGTTATTATTATTATAATAAAAAATAATCGATTATTAGAAAAAAAATCGACGGTTTGATAATCGATTAATCAATTATTTTGCCCACCTTACAAGATCGATTCTGCACTATAGTGCAGTATCGATCTTGTAAGAAGGAAATTTAGTCATTTAGAGAATGTTTATGCTTTTATTCTGTTTCTTATCGCTACTTTTGCCTAAGTTACAATTGTAACTTGAACTTACAATTGTAACTTGAACCTACATGTCTGTGCGATCGTACGTTACGGTTGTATAAAAGTTGTACCTATGTTTAGTAATCAAAACTGTTTAAACAAGTGTTTAAAAAATATTTAT